TTTGTTACAGATGCAGCGGGAGAAAAGTAGGCGCTTTTCGCCCGGGTAGAAAATTAGTATATTATTATTTAATTACAAGCGAACTTTCGATCCAGGTGTGAGAAAAAATTGTATACTCACCACGGGAGCAAAGTATGACATTCACCCGTAATTCGGCTCGGGTGACAATATTACGCGGGTCGGAATGCCATACTTTGCTTCCTAGGTGAGTAATATACAATAACCTACATTTGAAGTCGCTCGAAAGTAAGAAAAAAACGGATATGCTTTAAAAGAGCAAGAAGGAAGTATATAACATAACACATATATATATATATATATACCACGCATACAGGTGTTCGAGAGGAAAACTTACTTTACTTACTTACTTACTTACTTACGTGTGCTTATTTGTTATCATTTGAAAATAAAATAAGAACGATAACCGCAAGAATAACGGAATAACGCGTTCTTTTTCAAATAAAAATTAATATACAAACTGTATTTGTATAAAGAATAATTATCAAGAATAACGTATGCATATATATATATATATATATATACAAATTTAAATATAAAAAATAAGAAGATAATATAGTGAAACGATTAAAAATTATTATTTGACAAAACAAATTATTGTAAAAACTCACCTTTTTTGATGTCTTCTCTTCTGGTTTATATTATTTTCATAATACGTTTCTTGAGCTGCGTGTATGTTTCGTATTTTGATGCAACACGACGATGAATAACTCTTGTTATTTTTTTTTCACAGTAAAACAATAACGTTTGCACACATTATCGATGAAGTTTTAGAAGAGAGACACACACCACACGCGTGGGTTCCTTACTCACGCCTTTAACTATTTTATACTAACACACGTTTTTTCTTTTTTTTCTTCTTTTTTTTTTTTTTTACATTTATTTTCGACTCTTCAAGATACTGTCTATTTTTTTATTTGTTTCTTTATTTTTTCTTCTTCTTCTCCAAACATTGATGGAAAAATGGGGGACACACGACGACAGGTTGGTCTTGTATCTTCTCTCTCTCTCTCTCTTTCACGATCCACGAATCCAAGCTATATTATTTTTCTTTCAATTTTGTCACATATTTGAAACTAAGTAAAAGAGAAAAAAAAGAAAAAGATAAAATGAAAAATACTTGTAGATAAAATAGGGAGGGATAAGTAGTGGGGAGTGGGTAGGTGGGTTTAGGGAAAGGGAATAAAGAAAACGTAGAAAAAATAAAACTACATTGTTGCACTAACGGAGTGTAAAACCATGAAGACTTTGGGTATGATTCACTCAGGGAAATAAAATGTTGAAGAAACAAATAAGATATGGAAGAGGTTAAAGAGATTAGAACACAACAAAACAACAACACAACAACAAAAAATCAAAAAGAAATTATTTTGTAACTTAAATTCTGTTAGTCACAACGAAACGTCACACAGTTATAACACGTGACGTTGGTAAAACCCAGATGTGTGTGTGTGTTGTGTGATATACCGTGAACGCGCGAGCGCACAAGAGAGGTATAATACGATGGACAAGTTGACGAAGTTGACAACGTTTTATGTCACAGATAATGATGATAATGATGACGACAATAACAACACCAACAATGACACAAAGAAGACGAAAAAACGACGATTCAGTAGTACAGAAGCAATATTATACACACTACTACCACCACACTATTATATATCTATCATCACTAGTAGAACACTGCACATACAACGTATTTATTATACGTAGTAGTTCCTGACCGTGAATGAACGACCGACAAACGGTGGTTGAGAGCGGCTGAGCGCGCGCGCGCGCGCGCGCAACCAACCAACCAAGGAAGCTCTTTTTTTCTTTTATTCTTCTACTTCTTCTTCTCTTCTTCTTCTTCAACAAGGATGAAAGCAACCAACCCAACCAACCAACCAACCAACCGCGCAACCAACCAACCAAGGAAGCTCTTTTTTTCTTTTATTCTTCTACTTCTTCTTCTCTTCTTCTTCTTCTTCTTTCTTCTTCTTTCTTTTTTTTCCCTTTTCCTTTTCTTTTTCTTCTTCTTCTTCCGGAATCTTTCTACCTAACCTTTCTACGTGTTTTCTTTCTTACTTTGATCCATCTTGACATATATATTTTCTTTCTTTATTGCACATTTTTGTTATTGTGTTATATTGTTGTTGTAGTTGTTCCTTTCTTTTCTTCCTTTTAAATTATCCGAGACCCGTAACTAACTGTTGTTTATGCTGAAAAAATCAAAATAAAATTTAGTTATTTTATTGTATAAAATATTACCTGTCAACATTGTTAAGTATTATATATATATATTACGGAAAGTGTTTTGATTTACTTTTTTCTTTTTTAATAACATTTAGATATAACTTGAATTAAGTTGTTTTTTATTTCTATAGATCCGTGTGCGATGAGAGATATCGATTTTTTTTTAAATTGATACGATAAGTTAAAAGGGACAACGCTAATCAAGAAAATCATTGAAATTTGTTTGCTTTTTGATGATTCGTCTTGTGTGATAGAGGAAGACTCGAAACGTTTTTCCACTTGAAAACATACACCTTTACCTTATCCGTTTTTTTTTTTTTTTTTTAATATTAATCGATATAATCTTTATTTTTTTACGAACCGATATTTTTTTAACGATGATAATGATAATGGCGGTGATGATGATTATTGTTTTTTACTTATTAATCAAAAGCAAGCTGTAAAACAATTAAGATAATTTTTTCAAAAAAAAAAAAGAAACACGAAAAAATTACAAACACAAGGTGTATCTTGTCACGTCGATTAATACACTATAAATAATCCAAATTTTAGGTTAAACGTTTACATACCATAAACACGCACTATGTTTTTTTATTGAACGATAAATCGAAAGAGAGAGAGAGAATATATGCGTAGCAAATATACCAATATAATTTCCTTCGTAAAAAAGGTTGCAGGGATCTCCCGGTGGTTATCTCTCGTCATCGCGATTGGCCGATATCTATTCGATAGGAAAGATACCGTATATTTGTGCGTAGGTACATATATATATATATATACATATTTTATATATATATACATATTTTATATATATATATATACGCTGTTGCGAAGGAGAAGAGAGAAATAATCGAAGAAAAGAGAAGGATGAAAATAGTACTCGGCTCGTGCTCTTTCTCTCTCTTTATCTTTTCACTCGTATATCTTCGGAACAGTTCGTTTAAAAAGTTCGGCAAAATTTGGCATTGACTTTGAAGGCGCGCGAAAATCGGCATTATTTAAACATTGAATTGTGCCTCATTATCCCAGAAAAAGAAAAATTCAAACCAAATGAAAACGATAAGATTAAATTTAAAGAGAAATTAATTTAAAATGAGTAAACCAAAAAAAAACAAACAAACAAAAATAAACATATTTTTATGATAATCTTAATCATCGATGTATTTATTCTAAGGATAATCGAGAAAGAGTAAAAGAAGTGGGTCGGTCATGCGGCCGTCGACGTATTGCGAATCGCTCGACGATGATTCACGCTTCTTGTCGTCTTCTCTTCGACGGCCATCGACCGGGGGCACGAACGGAACAAACCTTGTCGAGGTTTAAGAACCTTCATTGACGTTCGTGGAACGACAATTCCAATGACTATGACGATGACGATTAGAAATTACAAGGATGACCGGTGTGAAACGCGTGAGAACATTTTCCTTCGTGAAAGATCACCAATAAAAACACGATTTACAAATTACATTAACACACAATTAACAACCAAATATACCGAGAAACTATACTGCTTGCGTGTCTCTTCGCGTGTAACTATTGTACGTATACATTTACGTACGTACGAATATGTATATATATAAGTTGCATACAGGATAATCCTTTTCGCGCGTCTTTTATTATCAAAAATGGCTTTTAAACAAACGCGTTTTTATATTTATCTATTTATTTTTTTATGAAACAAGAAACAAAAATAGAAAGAGTAAACGAGCAAGATGTATTATATATATTATATATATATTTATATAGAGGTAAGAGGAGAGCTGGAAAAGGAAAAAGAAAAATGAGAGAAAGAATGGAAACTTTCACTTGCGAGGCCTTCGCCAGAGAGACACACCGAAGAGAGAGAGAGAGAGAGAGAAAGAGAGAGAGAGAGAATGAGAGAGAATGAGAGAGAGGAAGGGTGGAATATGAACGAGGGGAGAGACGGTCGAGAAGAGCGGCACGGGGCCGCCAAAAACGATCACCAAGTGTCAAGGTTGCTATTCTACGCGAGCGACGTTATATACGTGTGTATATGCGTGCGCGTGTATGCGCGTAGGAAAAGGCGCTCGAGCTCCCCACTCCTTTTCTTGCTACGTGGTCCGGTGTCGTTGGCGCGCGCGCGAGCAACCGAACGCCGTTTCTCTCTTTCTCTCCCTCACCCTTTCTCTCTTTTACTCTCGAGTTAACTCGCTTACTCGACACGCACGTAGAGACGGAGCTGTTAGAAAGAGAGAAAGAGGGGGAAGAGAAAAGGGAAGAAAGAAAGAGAGAGAGAGAGAGAGAGAGAGATAAAGCGAACCCACGTCTTCGGTCGCGGGTTCCTTCGTCTCTCCCGCCAGGCAACCTTCCTTCTCTCTCTCTCTCTCTCTCTCTCACTACCACATCACCTAACCAATCTCTATAGGTCTCTTTCACTAACACCTACCTATGTATATATCTAGCTATCTACAGAGTGGCGCTATCACAACAATGCCATTATCGCGGGGTATCCGTTTCCCTCTGTTACATAGAATGACACTAAACTGCCGCGACAACGCGACTCAAATTAAACGAAAGACGGTCAAAATCCGGTTGGATTTAGCGATCTTCGTTGATCGACCGAGAGACGCGCACAATTCCGACGTAAATTCGACGCGAGAGTTTTTAGTGAAATTCGCCGAACGCTTCGACGATCAACATTTGCGAGTAGGGGATCCCCCACCACGCTACTTGTTCGATTCGAATGATACTACGCGTGCGCGGACCCCTCAGGGGTGTACTCCAAATACGTGCCCCTGTTCTATCGTTTTTGTTACTAGGGCGCCGCTTGTTTACAAACACCGCCACGATAGACGAAGACCGACGACGTTCTTCTCGCGCTCGCAATTCGATGCGCGCTCAACCTTTCGAACAACTTACGTGGCCGCCAAACGTTAATACTCTTTTTACTCTTATCTTTTCTTCCATTACAAATTGTATATTTTCTGTATATATGTATACATGTATGTATGTATTTATATATTTTTATGACAGACATTATTTCGATACTTAATATTTTATTTCTTTAATGCATAGATTTTTATCACTCATATGACATCCGCTATAATATGTTCTTTTTCTTTTCTTTAACTGTGATTTACTCCAAATAATAATCTTTTTATACATTGACTTAAATTTATTAATCAAATTAAGAGACAAAAACGCGCGTATTGATTATTTATAACAAAAGTGCACGCGTTATATTAATGAATTCAATGTAATCATTGATTAATATGCTGTGACTAATATTTATATATATATATATATATATATATATATATATATATATATATAATACCTTATATAAAACATACCTTACATTTTACATATTTTAAATAAAAGATCCGGTGATATAAATTTGAATTAAAATCGAAATTTCAATTACTACCTTATATTGATCCGATCCTGTGCAATGATATAATCGACTGGCCAATGAAGCGGTTTCTTGAATCACATGCGCACTACTTATCATCTCACGCGGTGTCCTACAACATGTTACAAAACTCGAAAATTCATTATTTTCGTGATATGCACAATTATAAAACTTTTTTTTTTTTATTCAATACATTATTGATTAAAATTTGTTTACAAATCGAACATTTATTTATCTTGTATTTCTGTAATCAAATGTATGATATGAGATTATAAAATTATATGATATATATCATATATCGATTGTAACATATGACCAATACCGTTGTTGTGCGTGTTAGTTGAAAATGTTTCATTGGTCATCATTTTCCCGCCTTTAAAATGGATTCATTTAAAATGCGATTACTTTATCACGAAAAAATAAATAAAATAAGTAATGCACTAACATATTTGTAATTGATAAAACTTTTTGAAAGACGAATAAATAATAATCAAATATTTCTATTTATTGATTATTAAATTGTAAATATATACGTAATTTAAATGACAAAGAAATATAAAAGAGAAAAAAAGTGTGTGTGTGTGTGTGTGTGTGTGAGAGAGAAAGAGAGAGACTGCTTATTAATAAAGTTGAACTATTTATTAAATGTTCATATATTTGTACAAAAGCACAGATATTTAAATGGGTAAATATTAGAAAGTGTAAAGAATAAGTAAATATTTAGTTAGTGCAATTAATTCGTAGAAATACAAGTTTATGAATTTAAAATTATATAGAAGTTCCTTTAATTAAATATCCCAGAATGTAATAGAATTTTATCGTAGAAGTAACGTTTATTGTACATAATCTCGACTAATACACAACATATATCGAATTTCTGAATCACGAGAAGAAAGTTGAGAACAAAAAAATTCGACAGAAATAATGGTTTATTGCTTAATCCAAAGGCATGCCGTCGTCATCATCTTCCTTTTTGCCAGGACTATCGCCTGGGGATCGTTTCTTCTCATCTTGTCCCTGTTGTGCTTGTCCTTGTCCACTCTTAGCTTCCGACTCCAAAGCGGTGACGAACTCTTCGATGTTACCACTGGCGGCTGCATTGATTGCATCAGTTCCCAAGCCAAATTGACGGATGACTGGGCCCGCCTGGCCCGACTGCAAAGCAGACCAGAACATTGATAGCGCCTGGGAGAACTGGGGAGATGATAGCGTTGTACACAGGTTGTCTCCAGGTGGTAAATGCGTGGAAATAGCACGTTCCAGACTTTCCGTTGATGTAATCGTTGTTGGGATGGCATTCGTCAGCTCTGTCGCTATGCCCCTCTGCTGGATAATAAGCCGTGGTGTAGCTGAACGAAAGCAACAAACAGTCCCAGAGAAATTCCCCCAACTGCTCAACAGAGCCAGTGTATCCGAGAGCCAGGAAAAGTTCATATGTAGAATTGTATTGTATAACGAAAATACAATGCCAATGTCCTCCTCTTTTTTTCTTTTTAAGTTATATTTTCAATATGCGTTTAATGTCTTTAGTTACAGACGATACCGTAGGTTCTCCGACATGAAGAAATTTCAAGATATTGTTAAACCAACCCTTTGTGCATAATGATTAATTTGTACTTTTCAAGATAACACTGTACTTATTGAGCAATTGAAGTAAACAATCGTAACTTCATATCACAGACCAAAGGTATCAAAGTAACACAAATAATATGTAACATATCAAGTTTTTCACTAAAAAGATTTCTTGATATGTATTATGAATATAATGTATATGAATGATAATGTAAACGAATTAAAACACTGGACAAAACAATAATGATACTATAGTTGTTAGAACGTATGTCTCTCTATCATAGATTATTAAAACCTTACAAAGTCTTGAAAGACGTGAGCAGCATTCTGTAAAATTGTATTGCATGTTGGCTTCTATTCACATATGATTGCTAATAGTATTATCCACAGACAAATATGAACTAAACTAATTAATGAAATAAATGTGAAACACCACCACTATATCACTAATACACTAGGCATCAATTTTACATTAACTTTACACTCCTAGATTTAAAAATCACCAATTTGTTCTTTAAAACAACATATGCAACGAAATAAAAATATGAACTTTTATATCGTTTTAGTCAATTATTTAGGAAAGAATATTGTGAAGACTTTAAATGCAAAAATGGACTGTATTTACAAGATAGGTTCTATTATCAAGAATGACACTTTATATCCCTGATAGTGACACTGCTGTAAAACCGATATAGTTAATATCAAGATAGATAACTTTTTTTGATGAGAATCACTTAAAACGTTCATGCACATAAATTTCTATCTAGGAGAACGTAAAGCTTTGTAAACAAGCATTTTTAATAAAAATATAACTATATTAATAAAGAATTCTTAATATTGTACCTATCTATGTGCCTGAAAAGATAAATATAATTTTCACAATATCTACATATTTAAATAATAATATTTCTACATATTTAGTCATAGAATAGATTATACATTTTTTTTTTTTTTTTATAAAAACATAAAGTGTTGATGCCAATTATTATTAAACTTAAAAAAATAAGTTATATTTGGAAAAACATTAAATTCAAAAAGTAATTGAAAATAAATGAAATTATCTTGTTGACTAAATATGCAAGTCATAATTGTACAAAGATATCAACCTAATAATATAATAATCAAACTGATAAAGATAAGTATTATGATATTACCTGAACAACAGCTTCTGCTCCAGCAGGTGTTGGAATTTCTGAGAGGAAACTTTGTAAATCGCTCAATTGAATTCTATTATTAGAAGCTGAAGTAGTCACAGGTGTAGATGGTGCTGTTGTTCTTGGTGATGACTTACTATTACCTAAATTATAATTAAACAGATATATTAGAAATATATACTTATTTTAATCAAATCATAATTTTAATACTCACTGGAAGATTTAGTAGTTTCAGTGACGGTAGAAGGTGCTGGAGTTTGGGACACTGGTGGCCTTGCAACGCTTGTTGTAACTGGTGATGAAGCAGTTGTAGTAGATGCTCTAGTACTTTGGATACTACCATGAGGTCTGCTCATTGTTCCCAATAAGCTACCAAGACCAATTTGTCCTACACCACCGAACAATTGCATTAATTGTTGTTGAGACATGTTATTTAACAAATTATGAAAATCCCCATCTGGATTCGTATTGCCACTCCTTTGAGACACAGGTAAAGGTGGGTGATTTAAAACTTCATTAATTTTTCTACAATATTCTTCATCCTTGTCAGTCTTTAAATCCTATAAAATTAAAAAAACTTTAAATACTATAGAATTTAAAAATTATCAATTATTATTAGTTTATAATTTTTTACCTGTAGCCAAAAGAAAAACTTTCTACTTGATGACTTGAATCTCAACAGATATACTCTACCAGTTTTACACGCTGGAACATGCTTAAATTCACAGTCATCTGGGAAAATAATGAGATCCTGAAAAATGATAAAATGGTATTAGAAATAATTACAAAATTACATACATATAATTGATATTTATAAGAAATTATTACAATTGTAATAATGACATGACAAAAATCTTACATCTTCTACGATTCCTGTTGTACGATCTTTCCAATAAAAATGCATTAATTGATCGTCAGAATGGTTAACATAAATCTGTCCCTTTCGTGTATCTGGATAAACCATTTTCCCTTTCATAGTCATTTTTCCTGCTTTAAATTCAACCAAATTTTTGGACGCATTTCGCGAAGGATTATTTCCAAATAGGGGACCCATGTATGTAACTTGTATAAATCAGGTTTTATATAAAAAAAGTTTGTTTTACAACTGCTTCCACTTAACTTAACGTTATAAATTGAATATACTTGTCGGCAGGCGTACGTCTGTGGTCTGTCAGAGGGGGAACAATGACCACTATGACAGTCATCTCAAAATGGCGGCGATCACCTATTAAGGTTGGTTTTTATATTTCTATTGAAAACTAAACATAATCTGCCTGAATAATATTGCTAATTTTTTTTTTTTTAATACAATATAGTCTCATATAAACATTTAATGAATATAATTATTTTTAATTATTTTTAAATTAAATTTTCACGATTTAAATTAAATTAAATCATAAAAGTATATCCAGTGTCAAATTATTTTTTGTTGTATATATTTAATCAAGTTTTTAAAGTTATTATATAAATCATTATTTTTAATTAATTTATTTATATAAATTGTAGTATATACATATGTTTATAATACGCGCGCTTGCGCGCGCAACCTATCGTAACCTTAATAATATATTTGTTAGATGGTAGAACTGATTTTAATCATGCGGTATAACGTTGGTAGTTTGAACATGTGCATAACCTCAATAAATTGTTATATATAGTAATTGTATAATGGTTTAACAATATTATTAAAATATATAATAAAAATATATATATAAAATATGATTTATATTATTAATTAATAATAAAATAGTTTGTAAAAAAATAAATTGACAATTCATTTGAAATGAGTGAAATATTAAATGAAAATATGGTTTTACCATATGCAGAAATTGGAGACATTGAGGATATAGTAACCAAAAATGATATTACTCCAAAGGAAAGATATGGTGCAAGAAAATATGTTGTTGTACGTGCAAAACGTAAAAAGCAAATAGAAGAATTTCCAGAACCTACAATATTATCAAGTGTCATACCAGGAACACAAAAGATTTATGTCAAGACATGGGGATGTACCCATAATAATTCTGATAGTGAATATATGGCTGGACAACTTGCTGCTTATGGTTACCGGTTAACCGATGACAAGCTTGATGCAGATTTATGGCTTTTAAATTCATGTACAGTCAAGACACCTGCTGAGGATCATTTTAGAAATGAGATTGAATTTGGAAGAAAGAATGGAAAACATATCGTTGTTGCAGGGTACGATATCAAATATAAAATGATTTGTTTTTGTCCAATGTGAAGAGAAATAATGTATTTATTTGTATATTTTTAGATGTGTTCCTCAAGGTGCTCCAAAATCTTCGTTCTTAAAAGGATTGAGTATCGTAGGAGTACAACAAATTGATAGAATTGTTTCAGTAGTAGAAGAAACGCTTAAAGGTAATACCGTAAGGTTTTTAAGTCAGAAGAAAGTAAACGGGAAGAAAATAGGAGGTGCATCATTGAGTTTACCAAAAGTTCGAAGGAATCCTTTGATCGAGATTATTGCTATAAATACCGGTTGTTTGAATCAATGTACTTATTGTAAAACTAAACACGCCAGAGGTGTACTTGGAAGTTATCCTCCCCAGGAAATAATAGAACGTGCCAAACAGGCCTTCGAAGAAGGTGTATGTGAAATATGGTTGACGTCTGAAGATACTGGAACTTATGGTAGAGACATTGGTACTAGTTTACCTGAATTATTATGGGAATTGGTGAAAGTTATTCCTGATGGTTGTATGATGCGTATCGGTATGACCAATCCACCTTATATAATAGAACATTTGGAAGCAATGAGTAAAATATTAGATCATCCTAGAGTTTATAGTTTCTTGCATATACCTGTGCAATCGGGTAGTGATCAAATATTGGCCGATATGAAAAGAGAATATTCCTGCTCGGACTTTGAATACGTCGTTGATTTCTTAAAATCAAAAATTCCAAATATTACTATAGCTACAGACATAATCTGTGGTTTTCCAATGGAAACTGAGAAAGATTTTGAAGATACTATGAAGCTATGTACAAAGTATAAATTTCCAAATTTATTTATTAATCAATTTTTTCCAAGACCTGGTACACCGGCTGCTAAAATGCGTAGAGTTCCTACGCAAGAAGTTAAACAGAGAACTAAAAGATTAACAGAATTGTTTCATTCTTATCAACCTTACGATCACAAAGTTGGACAAATTCAAAAAGTATTAGTAACAGAATTATCTCACGATAAATTACATTACGTTGGACATAATAAATTTTATGAACAAGTATTAGTTCCTAAGAAAGATGAATATTTAGGAAAAATGATTACAGTTGAAATTATTCGAGCTACTAAATATTCGATGGAAGGTCAACCAATAAAAGAAAAGACCTGTTGTTATCTACGAGAAGGTATATCTTTAATATCATCAAAACTTAATATTATTAAATCTAATGATACATTGGAAAAAATAATATTAGGAATGTGTTTTGCATTAATGGCTAGAATCTTATGGTCATTTTTGTGAAATTTGAAAATAAATAAAAAGAAATTATTCTTATTTATTTGACGAATATTTTTATATTAAAAAAAAAAAAAATAATAATTAAAAATGACAAGGAAATAATAATAATAATAATAAAATTGTTTTTTTTTTTATATATAAAAGCTTGTATAATGTTATAATGATTAAAAAGAGTGAAAATTTTGGAATTTGTGTAAAAATTATATTTAAACCGAAAATACAGGAACGTAACCCCACAGTGAATAAGGGGTTTTTTTTTTTTTTTTATTACATTCAATTGAAAAGAATAATAATACAGATACACCAAATTTTCCAAATATTCTCTCTATTAGATAAAAACAAACACAACATTTTGAAATTTATAAAAACATAAATCAATGTATTAAAAAACTAAGACGTTGTTTTTTTTCTTTTTTTTTTTTTGAATTAAACATCAAATTTGAGACATGACAAATATTAATAAGTAATTGAGAGTATTTTTTTATTTTTTTGTTTTACATATTCGGTGTATCATTAATTCGTTGAGCAATCAATTGTATTACAAAAAAAAAAAAAAAAGAGAGACAAAAAACTTACAGGCTAAGCATTAAAAGATAGTAATAAATCGCTATAAAAATATAATGTTTTGTTTTTGTTTTTTTTTTTTTGTTTTGTTTAACTAACTGCATCGAGAAGACAATGCATTTTATTTGGCATCAACCTTTCATCGCTAAGGATTTGAATAAAAGTATCTTACTCTAAAATGAAAAAGGCATTGGTTTCCCTGTACAGAAGTATCTCCTGAGTATTTTTTTTAATATAAACACGGGTGGGTGGGTGGTTCGAAAATACGACCCCCAAGATAGAGAGCAAAAAAAAAACACATAATAATAATCAAAGGGTCTCCAAGCCCATTTCGTATTCGCGGAAAGGATCGATGTGTCATGACGAAAAGATAGCTATGTATGTATGTATGTATGTATGTACACATATATATATGTATTTCTAATATATGTGCTGTGAAAGTTTATGGCAATTCTGAAATTATTTTCACTTTTGGTAACAGTTGCATAACCTGAGGTATGTTCGGTCTAAAATCCTATTTGTATTTTGAAAATATATATATATATATTAAAATAGTAAAAAAAAAAAAAATAAAAATAAAACAAATTAAATGAAAGAACATACTATCTCTTCGTAATCTTCACGCACACTTATTAATAAGCATATTTGATTCTCTCATTAAAATCTAATTATTAATTGGTAATCCATACTACCATGACCGCATTTTATCATTCATAATAATAATAATAATAATAATATAAGCGAAAATTTAATTATTCCTTTTTCAAATGACAATTAATTATTATTATTATTATTATTCTGGTTTTTTTTTTGTTGTTTTTTTTTTCAATTTTTTTTCTCTCTTTCTCTCTTCTTCTTTTTCCAATGTAGAGACAAAATTTACTTTAATTTACATTACTTTACTATTTTATTTTTTATCATTCATCGTTGAACGATATAACGATAAATATAATTTACTGTTTTTTTTTTTTTCGTTTTTTTTTTTATTATTAATAACACATAATATACGGCCTTATTTAAAAAATATATACTATATATATCTATTTACAAAATTTAACAAATAGTTTTTTCTTTTTTCTTTTTTTCTTTTTTTCTTTTTTTGAGCGATGGAGATTGGCTTACAAAAATTAAATACAATTTTTTTCTTTTTTCTTTTTTCTTGTTGTTGAAAAAGAAAGGAATAATAATAATAATATATATATATATATGTAAAATAAAAAAACAAAAGAAAAAAAAAAACAAAAACAAAAAAAAAAACTAAAAAACACATAATGCACACAATAGAATGGGTAGCATCTCTTATCACAGAAATGTCTCAAGCGTGTGCCCCGCTTTTTCGCATTTATTTATTTATTTGAGATTCGGTTAATAAAAAGGACAAAATAAATTACGATTCATTTGTGATTTGAATTTTTTCTTTTTTTTTTCCTAAAATAATAAAAAACAAAACACTGAAACACGGTATTTAAAAAAAAAAAAAAAAAAAATAAAAAATGGTGTCATGCAAATCGAATTTCATTGACGTATGAAAATCGCACATCGTCTATAATTTAAACGTTATTATTATTATTATTATAATTGAAATTCTTTTTTGTTTTTTTCTTTTTGTTCGTAAGATAAATCATGCGAAAAGAGAAGATGCAAAATTAAAAAATTATTATGACGAATAAAAACAAAGTTAAGAGACATTCTTTTTGCTTTTTTTCTTTTTTGTTGTTTTTTTTTAAAAATAAACGCGTTATTTGCTTAAATTACTACAAATAATTTGATAATTTGCTCACAAAGCGTGTATTCCCAGAGAAACGTTCTGTTTTGTATGTTTCGCGAATATTATTAAATATAAATATAAATATATAAATATAAATATAAATATATATGTATATATATATATATATATTTATTGTAATATATATATATCATTATATATATATATACACACTGTATATATTGCAATATATATAACATATATATATATTTATAAATATATACATATTTTGTATAATGCAGACGGTTTTAAAAAAGAAACGGAGTAAATACTATTTTTTTTTTTTTTTAAAAGTTACACGGAGAAGAATACAATTATACAAAATAGAAAAAAAAAAAAGAAAAAAAAAAGAAAGAAGAAAAGAAAAGAATATTACTTATAGTACAACCCATTCCTTTCTTCTAATGGGATATCTCTTAAATGCCAATACACACACACACAAAATACACAAAATATATTACTATACGCTCGGTTATTTACAAGCAGTCTTTGCGTTTCCTGCGTAATATATATACCGGTACGGAGAAACACCATTGTTCTTTCCTTTTTTTCTCTTTTTTTGTTTCTTTTTTTTTTTTTAATTACACATAAAAAAACTAGAGTCGCCTTATAATACAAGAAAAATCTCTTAACAAGAGTATACACAGGAATAAACATAATATTACATGTGTAAAAGATGTGTGTGCTTTTTCTTATAAACGCATTTCCAATAACATTGATGGTATCCATCTTGTAATGGCGGACAAATATGGCGGCTCTTACTTAAAAACGAAAATAACCTTTTTCAACGCGACAGATGTAGATAATTATTTTCATTTTTAACAATCGAGAAATAAAGTAGTATCAAGAAAATAATATAATTTATGGCAATAATTATGGCGCAAGTTGACTTAAAGAAATGTCAGATGAACAACAAATAAGATGGCACACATTACAAAAATGTAATTCTCCTACCGGTTTCCATTCGAAATATCATTTTCATCAATATTATGGCACTCGACTGTTTTCTTTTTTTTTTTTTTTCTCAGCACGATTTCATTTTCTTTCCCCATTTTTCATATATATATATATATTTTTTTGTCTTTTATGCTTTCTTTTTACAATTATCTTTCTCTTTCACATGACATCAATTCTTTCGAATATAATAATACTTTATTTGAATTTTTTTATTTTTTTACTTTTATTTTTATTCTTATTCTTATTTTATTTTGATTTTCAAAATCGTAAAAAAATGCAACCCCAATTTCATCTCGTTGTTTGTTTCATATTTTTGTTTTTTTTGTTTCTTCGTCGTTGTTATTACAAATGAGGATTAAAAGTATATATATATATATTTTTTTTTTTTTTTTGATAAAATATATGCACGTAAAAATGAATATACTTTTTTCATCGTTGTTTTTCTTTTTTTCTTTTTGTTTCTCTCTTTCAACTTCTTTTTTATAATATATACGATAAAAAAGTTTAACAGTAATGAGGAATTAAAACAAATTGTTAACTCGAAACAACATTAAATGGTGGCAAAAGTCGTAAAAGTTAAAATAATTTACACCCGAATTGGAGTAGTAGTGGTAGAATAGTGGTGGTGGTTGTTCCTTCCTTCCTTCATTTTCTTCGGACAAATTGATACAACGATTATTATAATACATACACAAGGATAATGACACGATATATCCTCGAGGAATGACTATACAACACACACGAAACGAGTTGTTTGACTCGTTGAAGCATATACACGCATAGTATACACACAACACACACATACATACATACACATATTGGATGATAGTTGAATAAATTTGTCAAGTAAACGAAGGAACGAAACACCCACCACCAAACCAACCAACCAACCAGGACATTTATTTTCGATAGATAAAATATTATTTCACGGTGAGAAACGTAGAATGAGAAGATGAGAAGTAGTTGATGGGACACGTTTTACTATTTTTCTTTTTTCCTCGTCGAATAGAAGTAAATTAAAACAAAAGTAAAATGTTCGAACAAGACATTCGAATGAATGAACAAAAATAAAAATAAAAATTACGCGTATTTTTAAGATGAAATCACACAACATTAATAGACGAATTTAAAAGCGATTTTATTCAACGAATTAAAAACGTTTTATCAATAATTGTCGATGATATTAAAAAAAAAAAAAAAAAAAGAGAGACAAAAAACTTACAGGCTAAGCATTAAAAGATAGTAATAAATCGCTATAAAAATATAATGTTTTGTTTTNAAGAAAAAAAAAAAAAACAACAGAAAAAAAACGAGATACGAAATAGATCAACAACAAAATATACCCTAGTAGCAGAAAATATTGAAAAAAATATTCAATACGTGTGTATTTAATATTAAAAAGAGATTTTTAATGTCTTTTATGTTACACACACATATATTCAATATTTTTCAATATTTTCTGCTACTAGGGTATTATTTTGTAACGATGAGAAAACCGTCGTGTTTGATAACAAAACAAACAAAACATAAGAAAGAAGAAGAAAATAATCATCCAAAGAGATTACAATGTTCATTCGTATAAATTGTTTATGATAAAAATAAGATAAGAAACGATAAAGGGGAGGAAAGAAAAACCCTATAAAGTAAACGAAAGAAAGGTGGTGGTGGTGGTTGTGACGAAGATTATGATGGTGGTGGTGTTGTGTTCTTTCGTTTCTCGATCGACGAGCAAGGTGATCTCTCTCGCTGGGTCTCCATTAAGAGGTACATTCGTGTACCTTCTTCTTGGTCTTCGTTAAAAGAGAGTTTTGTTCGGAAGTGTGTGAGTAAGAAAAGAAAAGAAAAGAAAAGAAAAGAAAAGAAAAGAAAAGAAAAGAAAAGAAAATAAAGTAAGAAATATCCGGGGGCGCGACGAACTGCTGCTACAACCCATCCCATTTCATACCATATATACCATCATACCATAGCATACGACCCATACATACACCATTTCATATCCCATCCCCTTTTGAGAGAGAAGAGTTTTACGACATTGCTTTATGGTTTCTCATTTTCGTTCTTTCTCTTTTCCTTCTCCTTGGTGTCCATCCTTTGCTAATCTCACTTCCTTCTTCTATCTCTCTCTCTTTCTCTATATTCGCAAACAACCACCTTCCTGTCCCTTCTCTCTCTCTCTCTCTCTCTCTCTCTTCTGAACTTTTTCTTCTTCGACGAAAACGACAGGGGCCCCTTGCAACTTGCCGATAATAACGAACGAAGGAGCAGGTCCCAGAAGTTACTGTGGAGGCTCAGGTGCAACGACGACGACGACGACGACGACGGTGGCTTCTTCTTCTTCTTCTTCTTCTTCTTCTGTTACTTTTGAGAGAGAAGGGCAACCCAGTACAAAAAATGAAAGAAAGAGAGACCATGATTCTTCTTTCTCGCGTAAACGTACATACGTGGTGGTAGTTGCGAGGAACCGACAAACCATGGGCAGCATTGGGGTCTTCGGGTTCTCTCTCCCTGAATACCTTTCTCGATCAAGGCCGTAATTTGAGGTTGAAATCTTTCGTGCCGCTCCTACGATTATCCTTATATACCGTGATATTACACGAGAAGGAAGGGAGAGTATATACTTGATAGTAAAACCCAACTTATTTTTCTTTTCTTTTTTTTTTTGTTTTTTGTTTCATGTTCTTCGAACATACACCAAAACCTTTGGAACGATCGATCCAAGGGGAAGGGGATCATTGATCGGATATGAGATCTTATTTTGACTTTTTTATTTTCTTTTATTCCTCCCTTATGCAGAACGGGGCCGTTCTGGCCATTTTGGACGACGAGAAGAAGAATCTCCTTCCGCAATTTTGTTCTTTTTTTTTCTTAAACTTTAACCCATTTCTTTTTCCCATTATCATCATCATTATCATTATCGTTATCATTAGTTGTTTCTTTTTTTTTCTTGCATTTCTTCTTCTTTTTCTTCTTTTTTCTTTCTCTGCTGCTGATGATGATGCTGCTGCTTCTGATGGCGGTTCTTCTTCGTTCTTCTCGTTTATATTCGTTACAACCTTCTGAGGTTTCGTTTGCTCTGTCTGGAACCAACGACGAGTCGCTTATTTCGTTTAGTTGGCGTGGCCAAGAGGGGCGTCTTACAAGGACCTGTATGGGGCCTCGAAGAACACGACGTGCAAAACTCCATCGAGCAGCCCTGCCTCGAGCACGTTCCCACGTTCTTTTCACCGTCGACGTGGCAAGGAAATGAACATCTTGGACATGGTAGTAGATGCTCCCATGGTTCAAGTGTACGACTAGCCTACAAAAAGACAACAAAAATATATTAAATTATAATTTGTTTTTTTTTTTTCAAAAATAATTTTACATTGAATTATAAATCAACATAAAGTTTTCTTTATCGACAGTTTTTGTTGTAGGAAATTAACGACAATCGGTAAGGTAGGAAATTTTTTATCTATTTTCTTGTCGATATAGTTGAAAACTACTATTATCTTTGCTAGATCGGTATTTGGTAAATATTTTTTTTTTTAAATATAAATTTTTACAAAATATTCTAAATTTTGTAATAATAAATTTCCGCCACTTTTTTTTTCTATAAACCATCTGTAGGAAATTAATGGAAACAAAGTTGTATACCTTATAGTTAATATTGAAAAAGTTTCAAAAAAAAGAAATAAAAAATATATTTCAAGTATTTTACATTATATACGGTGACACACATATTTATAGACATACTTAAATACACAGATGTAAATAATGGAGAGGATAAAAAAAAAAAAAAGAAACCAACCACACGAAAGCGTTGAATCGATTTAAAACAATGATGTAGTAAAAAGGTGGCAAAATTTCATTGGCCATATTCTTTGTATTCCATAATAATTAATGGGATTAGTTATGGCTTGTTGCACCTGCTCGTGCAAACGATCAACACAACTCGTTTCTCGGGACTACAAGATTATAAAAAGAAGTGCAACTTTTACCGTGGTCGCGTGTTCTTCTTCTTCTTCTTCTTCTTCGTGGATTTAAAACGAACGATGTAAAAAAATTTTTAATGTGCACTTAAAAGATCGATAATTGCGGTGGTAGTTAACAAATTATTTTTCCAATATGTTTAGAAATGGAAATCAAACAACACTGTATTTATGATTACATATATATATATAGTATATTACTTTGGTGTGCACTATCCAATATGTTTAAAAATGGACCCAATAAAAAACTGTATTTATGATTATATATATATATATAACTACTTTTTATATACTTTATATAATATATACTAATATTTGAAAATGTTATGTAATATATGTAATATAAATTACATATTTATGTTATTTTATATTTATATTAACTATATATTTAATTAACTACTATTTTAACTAATATTAATTTAATTACATTAAATTACATATATATAGGTATATTATATATTAGTATATTAATTAGTTTATTATATATTAATTAGTATATTAATATAAATATACTAATATATATATACTTATATATACTATATATATATATAGTATGTTACTTTGATGTGTTAGAGCAAATATAAAATAATATTCGTGCAAGCTATGCAAAAAGTTTATCTGCAAGGATTGAACCGGTAAACTACGTTGGTTGACTATGGCAAATGTTCGTAATCTGCAATACACATATAAGGTTCTTCTTAGAATTGATATAAGGAAGAAAATATATCGCCAGCTTGTCGATAGTGAAAACACAAAGGTGCAGATAAAGAAAAAGGGATGTGTGTTCAGATATGTTAACAAACCTTAACTCAACCCTTACTCTACTCTACCCTTTTTCCTTTCGTCTTTATTTACTCATCCATCATTACACTTACTTCTATAAAAATTTGAATGATTTTTAACCAAAGAAAATGTTCAATAACATTTCATAGCCCTTTTACAAACACACACACAGACACACATACACATATATATAAAAAAAAGGTCAAATCTTTTCAAAAATTTACGAAAAATAAATCAAAAGAAGAAACCCAATAGATTCGAAAGTTGTTCCAACGAATTGAAGTTCAAAAATAAAATATATAAAAGAAATAGTAAGGGGGTTGTTTTCCAATTCTTAGGAATACTCAACAATTCCTACCCCCCCCCCGTTCGTCTTTTTTTTCCTTTGACCTACTAAAAAACAAAAAAAAAAAAATACAAAAAAAGAATAAAAAAAAACTAACTGTAGTATCTCAAAGAAATTGACTACAGTTTGAGAGAAAAGGAAACATTCCGGAAAAGGTTAAGTAAAAGTAAAGTACTTCTTTGCGGTAAAAGTGAAGAAGAGAATAACCGTATAGAAGTAAAATGATTATCTTCTCGTACATCTTCTCGTTCGCACTTGGTAATGGTAGGCCCTTTTACAAGTTAATGGATGATAGTTATCTCGTAGGATAGAAAATATGAGAGAGAAGAAAACGATCCGTTCAATTTCTAACAAGAAGATATATTATTATTATTATTATTATGATGATGATGATGATGATGATTATTATTATTATTATTATTAGTATTATTTCAATAACATTAGTTGTTTTGTGTGTTAGAAATCTTTATCAGTAACGTATACAAAATTTATTTCGATTGTTTCCACATATTTAATCATTAACGTATAATATATAGGAGCCCTTGATCCCTTTGTACTATATTTTATTTTTTGATAAGAGAATGAATATAAGTAAGAAAGAGAAAGATAGAGATACAAACACACACACACACACCAATCAACATTGAGTATAAAAAAAGAAGTGAGTTATTGAGTGAGAGATTGTATCGAGGAAAATTGTAACTTGGTTGTGTAAATATGATGATATAGAGGAAGTAGCAAGCGATAAAAGAAGAAGAAGAGAGAGAGAGAGAGAGAGAGAGAGAGAGAGAGAGGGAAACCTACAAAACTGTTTCACATTTTACATTTATTTTCTTTTTTCTCTTATTCGTCGTCTCACTCACTCTCTTTTCTTTTTGTAAAGGAGGAAAAGAGAAGGATTGCCTAGTAACCGGGTTGAAAGAGTGAGAAAGAGAGAGAGCAAATGGTTATCAAGTAGAAGAGGGAAATGTAGAAAGAAAAAATTGGGTAGATGTTGTATATGTATATATATGTGTGTGTTTATGTATAAATGTGTGTGTAAATCCTTGCTCATGTGTACGTGGTGCACGTGTAAAATGTTTGTATTCGTGTGTACATTATGAATGTGTTCGTGTAGGCGTAGAAGACACAATGTAGCAGCAGCAAACATTTCTTCTCTACTAGGGACCCTTTTTCTTTATATATTACATAGGGAAAGGTTCCTCCTAGGTGGCGTTTTATACCTGACTATTTACCGAACTCTTTCAAAATTCTCTCCTGTTGCTGCTTTGTGAAGGGAACAAAGTTGAAATAAAGAATGAACACGACGATTGAATTCAACTAGAAAAATTATTTCATTTCCGTTGTATTATTATTAGTATTTTTATTAATGTGTGTGTGTGTTTTACAACGAGTAGAATTAATATGAATGAATGAATGAATACTCGTAATAAGTTGAATAAATAATTTTTTTTTTTTTTTAATATTTTAATAATAACATGTTTTATGATGTAACGCGTTTGTCCGCCATTTTGAAACTTCTAATATTTTTCTGATATATGCATGAGTTTTATTTCAAATATTGAGTTTGATATTTGAAACAATGTTAAAAGAAAAGAATATTATTATTATTATTATTATTATTGTCCACCATTTTGAATCTTTTCATATTTTTTTTTTGGATATGTTCATATATATATATATGAGTTTTATTTAAAATATTGAGTTGGATATTTGAAACAATATTGAAAAGAATTATTATTTTGTTTTGTTTTTTGTTTTATAAAAAGTAGATTTCAATTGTTTCTAGTATTTCGATCGATTATTGACTAACGTAGTGTTCCACTAGAACAAAGTTGATCTCGTGATGCATGCATGGGTGTATGCGTGGCTGCTGCTTTGGTTTCTGATGGTATTTCTCTTCCCAAAATGGAGGGCAATTGAAAGAATATTTTATTTTCAAATAAATTGTGATTATATTTTTTCGGTGATATAATAAATAACAATTTATAATAATAATAATAATAATTAACAATAAATGATAAACATACAGTTTTTCATATACTTTAATATTACCAATAAAAATAAAATATATTTAAATATATATATATATATAATATGTATTAAAAAACATAATATAATTTTCAAAATGGCAGACAAATATTGTTACCCCATTTATTTTGTATATTAGTAACACACGCGATAATTTAATTAGGTAGATGTGATAAGTGAGCATATCACTTCCTTCCTGGCTAATTTCCTTATAATTCTACTTTTTGCGAGAATGTTACACACATCATTTTGTTTATTTGTTTGTTATTTTTTCTTTCATACTTAACCTATAAATCGGGAAATTCACTTTTTAATTACGTAGCTTCTTTTATTATTTATTATTATTTATGCTTGAAATAAATGAAAAGACTATAAAATATATATATTTTTTCATTTATTTATATATAAAATACGTAAAATACGTAAAATACGTTTGACGTATCTATACGTCCCGTCCGATTAACAAATTAATTTTATTTTCAATCAAAATAATCGTACTATTTATTATTAATTATGTTTAAAATAAATGAAAAGACTATAAAATATATATTTTTTCATTAATTTATATATAAAATACGTGAAATACGTTTGACGCATTTATACGTCCCGTCTGGTTACCAGGTTAATTTTATTTTCAATCAAAATAATCGTAGATATTTTTTACATTTAATATTTTTTTTTCATTTTCTTTATTTCTATTTTTTTTTTTTATAGTTTGGTTTCAACGATATCTACGATCAATCTTTTAAGAAAACAAGATCTATCAAAGTAGATAAGATTCAAAAAAAAAAAAAAAACGTTTATACCCCCGATTTCGCGTATAATCGGGCAAACACATCTTCCCTACAAATTCGAACCGTTTATAAGAAAGAGAAAAAGAAAAAAAAAAACCCTTTTCCCTTTGAGCCATCGCATCGTATTAAGGCATTCTACGTAATTCGATATCTCTATTTAAATTTCCCCCGTATTGGATTACCTTTACTCTCTAATTTCGTATTACAATCCGCTCGACTTGACCAGTTCAAAGAAAAATTAAGATTTATTCATCATACACTTCCTATTCACCCAACACCCAACACCCAGCACCCACCAATCACCAATCACCTTTTCCCCAATTCTATCCTTTGTAGATTTCTATCAATTCCGTTACTAACAAACTTTCAAAAG